TTCAGATACATCCAGCTACCAAGTCCCAAATAGGACGAAACGTGCGTCTTAAATTCCATTACTAACCACTATACATCTTTGCTTACAATGCATGTGAATTAAGGCTATATCGAGGCAATACGTATAATATGCACATATGCCAATAAGATACTGATCAATTGCAATCCTAAATAACAATGAGCAGATGCAAGTAAACAACACCAAGTAAAATCAAACTTCATCCCATTGCACAAGCAAGTTAGCTATCAAGACTCAATAGCTAGGTGGATAACGTGATGTCGTTTAAAGCGAACGGTACTGATTTCAAATTTCAGAATGAATATCAACTCTGAGATTCGGCTACATCCACAGCTGCTGAGTTTCAAATAGGACGAAACGTGTAACCTAGATTCCACTATTAACCACAATCCATCTTTACTTATAAATATCAAGTAGATACTTTTAAATTTAACATTTTCACAACGGTAACAACATGATTTCTACATCTGATTTAGATTATATAATAGTCCTATATAAGATGTATTCGTTTTAGGAGGGGATTTGTGGAGATTTCAGTATATTTTAAAATTGAAATCATGATTCAATTGAAGCTAGACCACCATCGAAAACCTGGAAACACTGGACGGCCGTTTCGTCCTATTATGGGACTCTTCAGCAGTGCGCACCCACGATCCCGCACTCGCGAGATTCGAACCCATGACCTACCAGTTACAAGCCAGAGCCCTTAACCGATAGACCACTGAGCCATCAACCAACCATGTTAATGTCTAACTTCAACTGATCCACGAATTATGAGCGACACTTCATCAATTGCCTTCAGTGAATTGTTATCTCACAACAGACGTGGTTGAACTCCACTGGTCACTGCTTCCCATTAGAACTCCAGGACATGTATCTTGAAGTCAGTCACTAGTGAGCATATGATTATAGATCAAAAGGGGATTTGTGGAGATTTCAGTATATTCGTTTTAATTCTATCTTAGTTTGATTTATGATATAGTCTAGTATAGGTTTCAATATTTAATAAATTACATAATAATACAACGTGTTTGTTTGTTTGTTTATTTGCTTTTCTTTAAATAAACAAAATAACAAATGAATTATAATCCCATGGATGTATAAATAAACTCCTATTAGTAAATATTGTCTAATTAGTTCCTTCTTGTTTTAATATTATAAAGATGATTTAAAGTTCAATTGTCTGATTTCATTTAATTAAATGATATAAATTGAATGGTGTAAACATGATTATTATTATTATTATTGTAAGTGAAGATGAATAATGGTTAGTAGTGGAATCTAGGTCGCACGTTTTGTCCTATTTGGAACTCTTCAGCTGGATGCACCTGTATCTAACAGTTGATGTTCACTCTACGTCTTGAACCGTGTACCTTTCGCTTGAATTGCCATCACGCTATCTACTCAGCTATTGAGTTCTGATAGCTACTTGCTTGTGCAATGGGGTGAAGTTTAAATTCATTTAATATTGCTTGTTTGAATCTTCTCATTAATGTATAGAACTGCGACTGATCAGTCTCTAATTGACAAATGTGTATACTGTGCGTATTGCCTCGATATAGCGTTATTTCACAAGCATTGTAAGCAAAGATGGATAATGGTTAGTAGTGGAATCTAGGTCGCACATTTCGTCCTATTTGGGACTCATCAAATGGATGTACATGCATCTCAGAGTTGATGTTCACTCTGAGACTTGAACCAAGTACCGTTCGCTTCCAACGATATCACGTTATTCACTTAGCTACTGAGTTCTGATAGCTACTTGCTTGTGCAATTGGGTGAAGTTTAAATTCACTTAATATTGCTTGTTTGAATCTTCTCATTAATGTATAGGACTGCGACTGATCAGTCTCTCAATTATTAACATCCCTACATCAAGTTTAGTGTATTCGATACTCGATTCATTGAAAGCAATTCATACAGTCCATAGTTTCAGTTTAATAGAGTCTATCAAAATACTGAGATTAGAGACTTTTAAGATTCTATCAGTTCCTAAGACAACAAAAAGGAACCTATAAAACAAGCACAATTTACGTTAACCTTAGTTTCTTTGAAGTTTATATATTGAGTTTCTTTTTGAAACTTATATCTAGAGATTTCAGTTAATTATTATGTCAACATACGACATATTGAGTTTTCTATCACAGTAGGGATTTTTAGAGATTGTAGTAATTTTAATAGTTGAATTCATAAGTCGATGTATGCTAGACTATCATGGAAAACTTGAAAGCATTAGGTGATCGTTTTGTTCTAGTATCGGACTGATGTGCAATTCGCATCTACAATCTTGCATGCGGGACTCGAACCCAAAACCTTCACTCTCGTGTGCTATTCATGAATTCAACTATATTGGATTTCCGCATTGATTTTAACAAATAGAACTTATTACATAATTTTGTTAGAATTTCTAGTAACAACCCTTGATGGACTTGAATACGTATCCAATAAATATAGGAATGAATTCTATTGTAGTTTAATGATTGAGATTAGTTTCTTATCGAAATGTTTGTCTAGACATTGATAATAAGTTAACATACCAACTAGTCTATACTGGCGTACACTAAGTGTCATATACTACAAATTCTGTTCATAATTCTTACATTAATCAATAGGAAGTTTTATTTTAAAAAGAATTTATAATCGTTGGCATCTGTTAACGAATTGTAAGTATTACATTGAAAGAACAATCTGTCACTTATAGGATTGAACTGGAACTATTCAGTGTAATAAACAGACTTTGTTGCTAAGCTATTCAGATTCTGGTTGAATTATGTTGGAGTTGAATCATATATATTCAATCGAAAAAAAAGATGGATGATGGCTAGAATATGGAATCCAGGACACATACTTTGTCCTATTTGGATAAGTGGATAACACGATGGCGTTTGAAACGAACGGTACTGGGTTCGAGTCCTGGGGTAAAAATCAACTTCGGGATGCAGATATATTCAGCTGATGAGTTTCAAATAGGATGAAACGCTCGTCCTGGGTTCTATCGCTAGCCACCATCTATCTTTGCTTAGAATGCTTGTGACTCAAGGCAATATCCTATGTTGACCCTAACTAAACATTTGAAGCTTATTAAGGTTTTGTTCAGTACCACTCATAGATCATCTGTAAATTATAGTCTTACTATGGATGTTTTTGGAATTTTCTTTTCTTTTTCTATTGAACAAAAGAGGTAGAAAAAAATGTATGAACAACCATGATGATACTTTTTAATTGGTGAAATTATGAGTCAATTGAAGCTAGACCACCATGAAAAACCTGGAAGCATTGGATGGCCGTTTCATCCTACTATGGAACTCCTCAGCAGTGCACATCCACGATCCCATCTCGCGAGATTCGATTCCAGGACGTATCAGTTTCGCGTGCTAGCGCTTAACTTCTAGACGAGTTCCAACAAAAGGACGAAACGGACGTCCGGTGCTTCCAGGTTTTGTGACCATAAATGCAAGTTGAGCAAAGAAGTAACCTAGAAGTTTGATGAGGCTGAATATAACTACTATAGAATTCTAGAAACACACAAGAAAATTGTGATACAGTAATGATGAGATTCAGACAGCATTAGTCTTCTTTAAGTGGTAAGTCTTTTTAATTGGACTCTATACTCGGTTCCTTAGCTATTCTCGAAATCGTCCAGCTGAAACTACACAGCAACTTGAAGACCAGAGAAACGGTACAAAATACGTAAGAAGCACTTTGCTCCAAAGATTCATTCATGTACAGAAAACATGGTTTTAAAAAAATAGTATTTTAGAAGTTTTTGGGTCTCCCCGAGAATTCTGGAATACTACTAAAAATACTAGCAGTATAGTAATCAGCCAATCAGAAATTGATTCAAAATTGATTTTGATTATTTCCCTGAAGAAGTTCAGACAAGTTAGCTGGACGAAACATTGGAATTATTTAAATTTCAATCACTGCGACTATTTCAAATACAATTTCTTTACATATAATGAATTGATTGATAGTTTGTAAATTAAGTATTTACTGTATAGTTCTCATATTTTACTGAGATAGTCTGTAATGCTATGCTTAAATACATTCGATTATCTCCATTCATCTTCTTGTTCACTGCAAACACTTCTATGGCATAGAATTTCTTCTAATATACAAATATTTAAGTAATATTATGGTATGTGCTACTGATGTTCACAGATATAAGTAGTATGTATCATCAATCAAAAGTTAATTCTCTTGTAGCAGAACGTTGAACGTTGATCAAAGAAGAAAGAACAAGAACAAAGAATGATTACTGTGAATATGAAGGAGCAATGAAGTCTGAAATGATTGAATAACATTTTGCAAATGAACCTCAGATTTTACTAAGATAATCTGTAATTTGTGTGTTCAAATATATTTGATAGTCACCTCCCTTTCACTTGTGTTCTCGTTCACTAAAATATAACCACATATCAGTTGTGATTCAATAGCTTTTTTAAAGAATAATTATAATAACCACTTCTGATCTATAATCATATGCTCACTAGTGACTGGCTTCAAGGGATGTTTCCTTGAGTTCTAGTGGGAAGCATTGATCAGTGGAGTTCAACCATGTCTGTTGTAGAGATATCAACTCACTGAAGGCAATTGGTGGACGGTTGCTCAAACATCGTGGATTAGTTGAAGTTAGACATTAACACTGTTGGATGCCGGCCAGCTCAGTGGTCTATCGGTTAAATGCTCCAGAGCGAGACTGGTAGGTCCTGGGTTCGAATCTCACGAGTAAGAGATCGTGAATGTGCACTGTTGAGGAGTCTCATAATAGGACGAAACAGCCGTCCAGTGCTTCCAGGTTCTCGATGGTGGTCTAGCTTCAATTGACTCATGATGTCAACTATGAAAATACTGAAATATCCACTAAAAACTCCTAACCTTTCTTTTGTTGTTGTTTAAATAATCTTCTTTGAATATGTTCTTTGTTGTTATCCTTATTGTTGTTGCCACGTTGATTTTTTTTTCTTTTTTTTAATGCATAGAAACTATTCCATCAAAACATGATGATTGGAGTAGACATTTTGGAAAATATTCAAATTTATTCTAATAAATAGATAAAGATATTGAAAAAAAAGAGAAAAAAAGAAAAAGAAAATAATAATCAATCAATAAATCAATCAATTAATCAATCAATCGATGAATCAAGATTCTTTTATCAATTTCTTATCTAAATAAATAAAAAATGAAGAAAATCAAAAACTTAAATCAGAATTATTTATTACATAACAACAACAACAACACCAACCACAACCACCACCACCACAACAACAACAACAAGAAAGGACACATTACGCTTAATTGTGTGAAAGAATTAGCACAATTCTAATAGTGGAAAATAACGCACACACACACAAATATAATCATTATATGCATTTGCTTTGAATGGCTTCTTTTGTTTTATCTCTAGTAATATTGATAAGAATAGTATTAGTAATGAGTGAAGAAATATCAGTAGTATATCTAATAGTAAACTTAATTCATAGATTACTTAATTACGCCTATTACCTCCAATGGAGTATAGGCCAAAGATCAGCATTCTCCAACCCACTCTCTCCTGGGCCTCCCTTTGTAGTTCTATACAACTGTTTCTCATTCTTCTTATATCTGTCTCCATTTCTCGGTATATTGTGTTTTTTAGTTTTCCTCTCCTATTTTGACCTTCGGGATTCCATGTGAGGGCTTGTCTTGTGACTCAGTTGGCTGCTTTCCTCAATGTGTGTCATATCCACTTCCAGCACTCCTTCCTGATTTCTTCGTTCACTGGAATCTGGTTTGTTCTCTCCCACAGTAGAATGTTGCTGATAGTGTCTCACCAACGAATTCGAAGTATTTTGCGTAGACAACTGTTAATAAACACCTGTATCTTCTGGATGATGGCTTTCGTAGTTTTCCAGAATTTAGCCCCATACTGTAAAACTGTCTTCACATTTGTATTAAAAATTCTAACTTTGGTGTTGATTGACAACTTTTTTGAGTTTCAGTTGTTCTTCGGTTGTAAATATGCTGCTCTTAATTTGCCAACCCTCACACTCACATGTGCATTAGATCCACCGTGTTCATCAATGGTGCTGACCAGATATGTGAATGTTTTCACATCCTGCAAAACTTCTCCGTGAAGTGTAATTCGATTGATACATGCTGTATTGTATCGGAGCATCTTGCTTTTCCCTTTGTGTACATTGAGACTGACTGCTGCTGGGGCTGCTACTACACTGGTTGTCCTCTCCTGCATTTGTTGTTGCGTTTGTGATAGAAGAGCCAGATCATCCGCGAAGTCTAAATCATCAAGCTGCAGCCTGCCTGTCCACTGTATCCCGTGATTTCCTCCAGATGTTGACGTCTTCATGATCCAATCGATGACCATGAGAAAGAGAAAGGGTGAGAGTAAGAAACCTTGCCTTACACCAGTCTTTACTTTAAACGACTCGGTGAGTTGTCCTCCGTGGACGATTTGGCAGTTTAGTCCATCATAGGAGTTCCGTATGATATTGACTATCTTCTCAGGCACGCCGTAGTGTCGAAGAAGCCTCCATAGTGTCGTCCTGTCCACGCTATCAAATGCCTTCTCGTAGTCGATGAAGTTGATGTACAGTGATGAATTCCATTCGATTGATTGTTCCACAATGATACGTAGAGTTGCGATTTGATCTGTGCACGATCTATCCTTACGAAATCCAGCTTGTTGATCTCGAAGTTGGGCGTCCACGGAATCCTTCATCCTGTTTAACAATACTCGGTTGAAGACTTTTCCTGGTATTGAGAGAAGAGTGATGCCCCTGTAGTTGTTGCACTTGCTAAGATCACCTTTCTTTGGTATTTTGATCAGAAGTCCTTTTTTCCAGTCTGTTGGTACTTGTTCTTCGTCTTTTGAATTAAATGTTGGCATTTATATATACTTATTTACATACTTAATTTCTTATGCGTGTTACTCCTCGTGGAGGAGTATAAGCCGCCCACCAACATTTTCCATCCAACTCTATCCAGTTGTGTCCAGTAGCTATTCATTCTTTTGATGTCTACTTTCGATTCCCAACACAGTATATTCTTTAGTCCTATATTTAAACAGCTAACCTTTTAAAATTTGATCTGTTAAGGATTAATTAACTAATATAATACTATATTTTGTTTCAAACGTCTGTTATTGAAATTTAACTAATTAGGCAAAAAGCAATTAATAATACACAAGCATGGTAAGCAAAGATAGATAGTGGCTAGCAGTGGAGTTCAGGTCGCGCGTCACTTTGTCCTATTTGGAACTCGTCAGCTGGATGTACCTGCATCTCAGAGTTGATGTTCGCTCTGGGATTCGAACTCAGTATCTTTCGCTTCAAACACCATCGCGTTATCCACTATCCATCTTTGCTTATAATGCTTGTGAATTAAGGCTATATCGAGGCAATACACACAGTATGTACATAAACCAATTAGAGACTGACCAGTTGTAGCCCTAATACATCGATGGGAAGATTCAAACAAACAATACTAAATGGATTAATAATACTATGAAAGAGAAGAATAATTACTGTACTATATAGAATCGTAGTATCATTTTGTTCAATATATTGTTAGGGAGATCCAGAAAACTCTTCAAAAACAGACAAAAATAGAGGCTCTGAAAACTCTCAGATACATCTTATCCAATCAGCATTCAATAGACGTTTGGCCAGAAACATCTAAAAAGTCAAAGCTCACATAACACGTTTCGAATTGGATGATTACATATACTGCTTTCATTCCAGAAATGTCCTGAAGCCGAAGACCATTCAAAATATTATGAATATTTTAGATTTTCTGTACATAAACGAACTTTGGAGTAAAGCGTTTTCTTCCATATTTCGTGACTTTTCTCTGTTGTTCAAGTTGTTGTGTAGATTTAGCCTTGGTGGTTACTAGAAAAGTTTAGAAACCGAATCTAGCGTTCAATTATTACTTGAATAATTTTTTCTGGTTAGCGTTTTTTTTAGAGAGTTGGTTTTCTACGGGATGAGGTCGTTAACCCCATGCTGAATCCTCCTCTTTTACCCCGGCTTGAGACCGGCAGTAGCCCCCGGAGGGGCTACAGGCGGAGTTAGCGTTCAGTTATATACTTCTCAAAATACTCTCGTTTTATGAAAACACACATGTCACATCTCCTTTTTTTATTCTATAAAAAATTTCAGAGATTTAACACAATTTCAGATAATCCATTTGCCCTAACTATGTACGATTTTTGTACAGAATTTTATCAGCTATCATTACTTTTAATAGTTCAGATCATTAGTCAATTGAAGCTAGATCACCATCGAAAACCTGAAAGCACTGAATGACCGTTTCGTCCTCTTTTAGGACTCCTCAGCAGTGCACATTCATGATCCCGCCTTGCGAGATTCGAATCCAGGACTTTGTTTAAAGAAATGATTGTCTGAAATTCAGTTCAACTATAATCATTCAAATAATTAATTAAGATTAAGTAAATATAAACCAGTATACATGTTTTATGTTTTCATCAATAGAAGAAGTGAACAATCATTATTACCCTTGTATTATTCTTTCTTTCTTAGTAGCCCCCCCCCTACTGTAAAGCTGAATTCATTATGATGTCTATTATTTTCATTAGTAGTTCTGACGGTTTAATGAACTTTCTTAGGGTTTTCGCCATAGTTGTTAAGACCTTAGTACTATTCAGTTTGTATATATTTATATAACAGATCTTATATAAACTAGTTTATGGAAAGAAAGGGGGGTGTTGTTGTTGGTGGTGCTGGTGGTGGGATGGGAGGGGAAAGGACAGTAATTGTTCGAATAACCTTAAAAGATCTATATATTTGATAGATATAATCTATAGTATCATTTACAGATTAGTAACTATGATGATTTTAAAAAAATCATTATAACAGGAAGCTTTCATAAGGTCAACATTCATCATTTAAAACAAGTGAAATCATACTTCAAATGAATGATGATGATGATGATCATGATCATGATGGTGATAATAATAACTTGGAATAAACAGTTTAGTGTTAACTAATAAGTTCAAGGATTTCATTATGTTATTTGTCTAGTTCCTAACATTGATATCAATAGAATATATTGTAAAACACAAAAAAAACAGTACAATAACTGAATGAACACAGTGATCTAGAGGTTAAAAGGTCTTGTGTTCGAATCCCGTGAGGGGTGGGATCATGGATGAGCACTGCTGAGGAGTATTACAATTGAACATTAAATGAATTTTATAAAGTTGAGATCATGAGTTAAATGAAGCTAGATCACCATGGAAAACCTGAAAGCACTGAACGACCGTTTCGTCCTCTTGTAGGACTCCTCAGCAGTGCACATTCACGATCACATGTTGCGGGATTCGAACCGAGGACCTATCAGTCTCGTGCGCTAGCACTTAACCGATAGACCACTTAGCCGGCCGGCATTCAATAGTGTTAATGTCTAACTTCAACCATTGCTAAGGTGTCCGACAATAGGACGAAACGGCCGTCCAGTGCTTCCAGGTTCTCCATGATGGTCTACCTTCAATCGACCCATGATCTCAACTATATAAAATTGCTAAAATCTCCACAAAACCCCTTTTGATAACAATTAAATTGCTATATATTAAATTATTTGCGCCTGTTAATCCTCATGGAAGAGAAGGTGATACTCACTACTAACATTCTATATCTAATTCTGTACTGGATAATCCATTCCACTTGTTTCCAGCTGCTATTCATCCTTTACATGTCTGCTTCCAATTATAGACGTAGTTTTTCCTTTGGAATTCCTCTTTTCCGTTTCCTTTCACTATTCCAAATTATCACTTATCTCGTGATGCAGTTTGATGATTCCCATAATGTGTGCCTATCCATTTCCAGTGTATTTTCGTAATTTCCTCTTCAAATGGAAGTTGGTTTGTTCTCTCTCATGGTAGGCTGATGCTGATGGTATACGACCAACGGATATTGAATATCTTGTGTAGACAACTGTTGATAAATACTTGTACTATGTTGATGGTGGTTGTCGTAGTTCTTCACGTTTCAGCTCCATACAGTAGAACTGTCTTGAAGTTCGTATTGAGAATTGTGACTTTGATACTGATTGATAGTTGTTTTGAGTTTCACATGTTCCTCAATTGTAAGAATACTGTCCTTGCTTTATCAATCCACACCTTTACTTCTGCATCAGATCCTCCACATTCATCAATGATGCTTCCCAGGTACGTGAAAGATTGCGCCTCTTCCAGAGTTTCGCCACCAATTGAGATTGGCTTGACGTTCTTCATGTTGTATTTGAAGATCTTACCTTTGTGTCTGTGTATGTTGAAGCCTACTGATGTAGAGACTACTGCTACATTTGTTGTCTTCATCTGTATTTGTTTGTATGTATGGAATACAAAGGCTAGGTCACATTGGTCAAGT